GCCCGGGCGGGGGACCTGCTGCAGGCGTCTCAGCCCGGGCTGGGGCGTGCACAGCCACTGCGCAGCGGCCCCTGCGGTGCGTCGCCTTGGCTCGGGTCCCATCCCTGCTTGCACTGTGCGTCTCTCCAAACCCTTTTGGTTTGGGGATGAGTCAGAGCCCAGGCAGGAGAAGGGCCGTCATTTCCCGCCGCCGCAGGGCCAGGGTTGCGTGCACGCAGGGAAAGGGGCGCTTTGCAACCTCGCTCTCGCTCCGGCCACGTTGGGGGCTGGACTGCCCCAGGAAGGGCAGGGGCTGATGCATCCTCGCTACGCCGCCCGTGCCAGCGGTGCCTTCTCTGCACCCGGCCTCCTCCTTTGTGCTCAGCAGCCCTTGGAAATCCCCGGGCTGGGTTCAGAGAGCTGGGCCAAGGGCGTGGGATCTGCCTTGCCCTCCGGTCGGTCTTATCCAGGCCAGGCCAGCGACACAGAACAGCTGGGACCGGAGCGGGCGGTCTCAGGCCACGGCAGCGCTGTATTTCGGCCCAGCTGCCACCAGGAAAGGCGAGGATGCCGGTGTCCCACTAGTCATTAGTGGCTCTTCGCTAAGAGCCTCTGGAAGTTGCGGAAGCATCCTTCTGGGCCTCTCTGGCTTTCTCTTACTCCAGCGTTGAGCCTGGCACCCAGGGTAGCTTGTAACCGGCTGCACGGCGGCTCCCTGCTTCTTGTGTCCTGCAGCTTCGTCTCCTGGCAGCCTTTTTGTTTGGCCCGAGGTAGACCGAGGCCTGTGCCGTGGGAGCCCCTCGTGGTCCACAGTCCACTGCAGCCCTAGCCTGTGTGGTTGCTTGCCATAGCTGGCAGAGTGTAGCCCCCCACAAATAGCCTCAGCCCCCGGAGACCCCCACACAAAGCGAGCATCTCTCGACAGCAGAGGTGTGGGGGTACCTGATCCACTTCCCCCCCACATGTCCCGAGTGAAACGGGGGCAGGGAGCACAGCTGGGACGGCCATCTCCTCCGCTCGGCTCCGCATGCCCACAGCTCCTGCCAGGGCGTATCTGGCTCCTCCCTGAGACCATCCGGGGGCCGAGGAGAAGGTCCCGGGAGCTGTCGTCTGAGCTCCACGTGCACCTCGCCCTGTCGGAGAGGAGATGCCGGCCTGGGGGAGTCTTCCCCGTGTCCGGGGAGCGGGGAAAGCGGTGCCGCGGTGCAGGCCCGGGTGCTGAGCAGCCGTCAAGGCACTGAGGGCTTCGTTGGCAGCATCCGCTTGCGCCAGAGCCCGAAGCTGGGTGGGCGCAGGGGGTTCACAGCTCCAAGCACGAAGCTCGGTCTTTGCTTTTTCTGCTAACGCGCTCTTTGCCCCTCTGCTTCCCCCTCCAGAGCTCCAGACCAAAGCTGCGCACGACCTGTTCTGCCATCCAGGAGGTCCGCCGGTGCACCCGCCTGGAGATGCCTGACAACTTCAACACCTTTGTCCTTAAGGTAGGACTTGCCATCCCTCCTAGGCCGTGGGAGAAGGGTAGGGGGCAAGAGGCTGCTGCCCTCCCCGGTGCCTCAGCTTGCCTGGCCCAGGCCCTGCCCTTTGCCCGGCTGCTCGGCACACGCTGCCTGGGCCCAGCCCTCGTCCTCCCTTTGTCCCAACAGCCAGGAGGCAGCGCGCCCCAGCCGCCCCGCTGGCGTCAGTGCCCCCCATCATGGCACATGTCCACGGAGGCTCTCGCGCCAAATTTCACTTCCTCTTCTCCCCCCCCCAGCGAGGAGCAGCTCCGGTTTGGGCTCAGCCCTCTCGGTGCCGCGGCTCTGGCGCATGACGGAGCCGGGGGCACGGTCTCAGGCGGAGGGCAAGAGTCCTGGAGACCTAAGCCCACCCTGCAGGGAGCCAGCACAAGACCCCGGCCTGCGTGTGGGGGGCACGGTTAGGTCCCCTTTGCTTCATCTCCCCTGATGCGCTGCCCGGGATGGCCGTCTCCCTCCAGGGCCTCGCATTCGTGGCCTCGTGCCCAGGCAGCTGGCAGCACGAGACCACCTGCCCGGTCTCTGCGGGCCAGCGGAGGTTGGGAGCAGCTGCCTCCAGCGGCCACGCCGAGACACGCAGGCTGCTCCCTTCCCCAAGCGTCCGGGGCAGAACCGCCGCCTGCGTCACATCTCCAGCCCTGCAGACCTCGCGAGGGGCCGGGGGAGAGAGGAGAGCGAGTTCCCCTGGGAAGTCTGCGGCCGGATCTCCTCGCCCTTCACAGCAGCCTCCTTCCTGCCTCTGCCCCCCTCGCAGCCGTTCCCTAGACCGCGGCGGAGGCACGTGAGGCCCCAGCGAGGAGGGGAGAGGAAGCTGCGAGGCAGAGGG